AAATAACGCACAAGCTTTGGCGTATCGGCGTATGACGTGTTTATGTACATTATTGCCATATCTTTCGATAGCGTGCATAAACACGTCATACGCCGATACGCCAAAGCTTGTGCGTTATTTACGTCTACAACTTAAGTATGTCGTAAAAAGTTACGGCAATGCTTGTGCTCAGACTCTTAGACGAAAATTATGATAAATATGCACATATGTATCACTATTTTATTATGTGTTACGCTGATTCTACAATGAGTCGATAGTTCGAAATCTTAAGTCTTAACCACGAGCTTAACCAGTCTCACCCTAAATAAGTGACTATGACCGATTCATAGTCAGTTCTTATATTCAATACCGTCATAAGTTCAATCTTGAGGTGTTACAAACCAATCAGAAAGTTGCATTAGCGTCTTAAAACATTACTTAAGACGATCTTGAAATAAAAACCGACTATGAATATCGGCCTTATAATTTTTTGCATCTACGAGTTGTTAAGCTGGAAACACAATGCGAGGGAATAGCGATAGCGATAAGTTTCAACTTATCAGAAATCGAATACACCGGAATACACATTTTTGATAGGTTGAAACTTATCGCTATCGCTATTCCCTCGCATTGTGTTTCCAGCTTTACTTATACAGTAAATCGTTTAACTCGACTAATGGAAAGGCGTAAAGTCGAATTTGGTCAGTCTTAAGAAAATCGGTAGTCGTACAAGTTGGCTGCTGACCAACTTCACTGATTCATCGATAAGATTTAGGACTATCAACTACCGACTCATTGTAGAATCAGCATTATGGATATTTTAATAACTATCTTCTATATTTTTTAAGGTTTTAGCAACATTAAGTTTTTTATGTTCTGGTTCATATCAAAGAAGGATCGGACAAGATTTCTTAAGTAGTATGTGCCAGTCTTCTGTAAGTGGAGCGATACATTCAATAATAAATGCAATAAATATAATAATGCCACAGTGGATAAAATTTCCAACACTACCTACTGAAATTCAAACCATTCAAGAACAGTACGATAAAATTAATGTTCTCTCTCTCTGTCATTTTTAGAATAATAAATATATAATAATGAAACAAATGAAATGGAATTTTTATAACTTTGTATGCAATATTAAAATATAAGTATATTTTAGATATTGGATTAATACTAACTTCCCTGGAGTAATAGGCGCTGTAGATGGGACACATGTGGGGATATGGCCACCAGAGAAAAATAGAGAACACCTTTATATTAATAGAAAACTGTTTCATTCCTTAAATGTCATGATAGTAAGTGTTATTTATTTCACAATAAATATGCCATCATATAATTAACAAAGAAAAAAGTTATATGCTTTCATTAAGTTTATATTCATGGGGTTTAATACATATTTTTTTTAGGTCAGTGACTATTATGGAATAATATTGGCAGTTGTAGCAAGTCATGGTGGCCGTACGCATGATTCCAGAGTTTGGAATTCCTCTCGATTATCCAAATACATGTTAAACAAATATCAAAATGGTAGAAGAAATGTATGGCTATTAGGTATATTCGTAGAATCTAAAATATTATTAATTCAATCTTCAAAGAAGGAATGTTTAACAAAAATTTTGCTCTAATGTTTAAATGAATAATGTATAAAAAATTAGGTAAAACTGCGGAAAATGGGAGCAACCGCCGATGACCTTAGCAATATACAATCAAGATCAAAGTCATTGGTGGTCCCATTTTCCATAAAAATTATTACTAGTGTATTTGAATTAGAATTATAACTATTATTTCGTCATGATATAGAGAATTTTTGGTATTACATTTTTAAATATTTGTATATAATATTATATATTTAAGAATATATTTCGCTAGTTTTGATTGGTTTCTGCATGCTTTTCTCTCAAAGTATGAATTGTCTCTTACATATTTTTTCAATTCTTAATATCTGATAGCGTAATATATGGTGACACTCAATTACACACGTCACTAATTGTTTTAATTTAATAAAAAGTTTTTCAGATTGATTCTACCACTAAAGCCGGCGGCACACGATGCTAATCTTCTTGCTGGATTGCTAGCTAAATTAAAATCTTGCCACTGTATTAGCTACGGTACAATGCCAGCATCGCAGCCAATAGTGACAAGATTCTAATCCAGCTAGGAATCCAGTAGGAAAACAAGCATTGTGTGTCGCAATCTTAAGCATTAAGAATGCTGTGAACAACTATGGTCAATTGCATTGTGACCAAACGGAACACTGCTCTTAACTTATATTACTTGAACTTATGTCAAAATTCAATTAAATTATAATATTGACGTTTTTTAGGTGATTCAGGATATCCTTTACTACCATATTTAATGACACCCAAATTAAACCAACCACCAGGATCTCCAAGTGAATCATATACAGCTGCTCATGTTAAAGCACGATGCTCGATCGAAAGAGCAATAGGTGTTCTTAAAGGTCGATGGAGATGCTTACGCAAAGAAAGGGCTTTGCATTATAAACCTGAATTTGCAGGTAAATTTATTTAAAATGAATTAATATCCGCTCAAATAAATTTCAAATTAAACTTAATAAACTTCCCAGGTCAAGACAAGCAATGTATTAAATTAATTTAAAAATTTTTTTAATTTACAATTTAATTACGGTTTGATGAGGACTCTGTGAAGTCGAAACTTTCCGTGTATTAGTGTTATTATTATAATAAATTTATATATATATATCTAACAACCAGTATAGTTCTTGTCTTGACCTGAGAAGTTTATTAAGTTTAATTTAAATATGTTTATTTATCTCGTAATAATTTTATTTAAAATAACTGTAATGTATGTTGTTTTTATTTAGCATTAATCGTAAACGCAACTTGTGTTCTACATAATATTGCAAAAAAATTTAATATTCCTGACAACGAAGTATATAGAGACGAAAATATTGAAGAAGAATTAGAACCTATTTTGGAAAATAATTTACGTGCAAGAGGAAATGAAGTGCGAGAAAGAATAATATTACAATATTTCACATAGCTTTATTTTTTATGAAACCATGTAATACAAATGTATCATTTGAAATTGTATCTTCCCACTAAAAATAAAACTAACAAGAAATGTTATCTTTAATATTCATTTTATTTTATGAGTCATATGTGTATGCAAAACAAAAATTATATATTACAAAACAAAATAAACTTATATTTTTATTTCTTAAATAGAGAAATAGTAACTTAAATATATAATTTAATAGTGCATGTGTTTTTTATGTACTAAAAATAAAACTTTTACATATATAAAATATAAAACCAACATAAAATTAATATTCTTCATTCAAGTTTCAAAACAAAAACAGCCTTCGTCTATTTATTTTACATATTTAAGGTGCCACATATTCAGGCATTAGAGACTGCATAGAAGTTCTCATATCCTTTAATTCTGTTAATATATTTTGTTGGATGCTTAAAGTTTTCTTCATAAGCTTTAATTGTTTTTTTTTTAGTTGATACTTTTTTTATTGTATTTGTAACATATCACAGGATAGCTGATGCATTGAGATTCCTATAAAATTCGAGAATATCTTAATACTTTTATTATTAAGTATTAACATACAATGTAAATTTCTGTTGTTCAAATAATTTACCTTTTCTAGCATCAAATCTTTTTAGAAATGAGTTTTGTTTTTGTCTTTGCTCACACATGTTTTGTTCAGGTATAGATATGTTTGTTGATATATTTTCTGCATTTTCATTTATTTCCATATCTATCTCTGTATTCTCTTCAACTGTTTGCACATTTATTTCTTCTACTTCTTGATCCTTTTCATTTAATGTTAAATTGATACCACCTTCAGGAATACCTTCTAGTCCAGCTGCCTCAGGTGTTAAGAATTCTATAACTTCTTCTTCAAAATTTGTGAAAGATATATTAATACTAGGACCGCCTCCAGTTCCTTGCATATAATTACGCCTTTTCGCTTCTTTTTTTAATATATATGATTTAATATCTTTCCATGTCTGGAGGAATTATAGAAAATATTAACAATTTTATGTTAAGGTTAGCATAATATATATATATATGTGTTAAATATTAATGTATTTATATGTATAAAAGTATTAAAATATATATTTATATTTATAGTAATATTAACATATATCTCACTATAGATAGAGTAGTATATGTATACAAAGTTCATATAAAATTAGATATAAATTTAACCTTTGCCCATTCTTTCCCATTTTTTTTAGGTCCTACTGCATGCGCGTTAATATTATTAGCGATTTCATCCCAACCTTCCGCCTAAACATACATTATTTATTAATCTTTTGTCTTAATATTAATATTAATCCAATATTAACCTTTTACTTATAATATTCTCTAGTTTAACTTACAAGTTTTCGGCGACTTTCGCTTTTTCTATTCATGCGTCCTCTTACCAATTCTGGATTAGCCTTCAATAATGTTAATAACATCTCTTTTTGTTTACTCGTAACATTCATTTTTTCTGTTTACTGTTACACGTTGACTGACTGTTTCACATTTGAAAACATCGCGGCAAAACAAACACTGTCTAGTTATTTTCATAATCCCTATCGTGTTTAGTGATTTCACTTTTGACACTGTTACGTAATCGCTGTGACTTGTGAAAAAGTTCACGCGGAATCAGAACGAGCGGAAAGTGAAAAATGAAAAAATTCGCTCGAAATTACGTAATCGCTGCCCTGAACCATGGACATAGAAATATAGGGACAGAGCATTAGCTCCGAAGATAGGCGAGAGGGGTTGTCCTGAAATGCGGGTGGCGATTGTGCCTAAATTTTATTGGCTACAGCTATGCGCATGCTCAGTATCGTGTAACATCGACTTAGCGGCTAATCGCAAATAAATGATCGAAACAAAATGATAAAAATTCGTTGTTAAAAAATGAATTGTAACCCATTACCGCAATAAGATTAACAAAATAAAACAATAATTAGAAATCTGAGAAGGAATTATATAGAAGTTCTAATGAGAAAAATAAAAATATGTATGCATATTCAATATTAAACAATACTATTTATTTGATACTTTTATACACTATGAAAAAATTTACTAAATTTTAATAAATATTTCTTTGAATAGTTCTAGCGAAATATTTAATAAATGTAAAGACGTATTTATTAGATCTAAGAATCATTAGTTTAAATCAACTATCATTTTTTTCATTTATCTAAATATTTATTTATCATAAGTAAATATTCCATTAGGACACTTAAAAGAAATATTTATTAAAATTTAACAAATTTTTTTCTTAGTGTAGATAAAAAAAATACAAATTAGGATTATATAGATTTATATAGATAGATTATATACGATAGGATCGTTGTTTAGATCTTATATATGTTTATACCCCTTACAATTAATTTGGACACGTCTTTCTAAGCCTTTCTAAGCATGAGAGTTGAAATATTAAAGCGGAGAGCACAGACTTTTGCATAACGCATAAAGCATGTGCATAAGGAATTTCATTGGTCCATTTTCTTATGCATGAGTCAATGGACCAATCAAATTCTTTATGTATATGGTTTATGCGTTATGCAAAAGTCTGTGCTCCCCGCTTAATAGGTAGAGTAGTTAAGGTTGGATTATACTGGCCGTAATCTGTTAACTTATGCTGTAATCTGTAAAAATTGACCAATTATAATCGATTATTCCCCTCTCATTCGACTGTGATTGGTTAATTTTTACAGATTACGGCATAAGTTAACAGTTTACGGCCAGTATAAATCAACCTTTAGAGTTGCATGCACATATATCAACACACTTGTCACTTGCGCATGCGTACAATAACAGCCAATCAGACTTAGGCACATATTACTCGTCGCACCTAGAGTCAGATATCAGAGAAGCGCAACCGGCTTAAGACAGTATCGCAAAATTACTAAGAAAAGTATTAAAAATGGCATCGTTTGCAGACGAAATATGAAATCCACCAATTAATATCTAGGGTGCAATACAAAAAAAAACTCCCTAGCTTAATCGGATTTTGGTGCCTGTCTCAGGAGGTAATCGGATTGAGTTGAACGGATCGTGAGAGAGGAACAATTTTGCGAATTTGCGTATGAACTTAATAAAAGCAGAGTGCATAAAGACAAAGAGATACATACGTTAACTACTATCGTAATAATTATTGTGTATTTTATTCTAAAATGTATATCAATAATGGAAATAGGTATAGTATAGTAAAAGAATTCTGGAAAAGTAAATATATAACCTCACTTTATTAATTTTTTATAAAATATGTATAATAAAATATTTTTTTGCAGAAGTATAAGATTTGCCAATTTTTAAATATTCCATACAACAAATATATCCATCCTTATATGTATCCTGTA